TCCTCTCTCAATCAGTAGAAAATATGGTTAACACCCGGTAATGCGAGAAAAAAATAATAATACCGTCATGTACCGTGAAACCGGTATAATTTTTAAAAATACCGTGATATAAATTTTTGGTCATACCGCCCAGCACTAAGTCAAACTGAAATGTCGTCTGCACTATTTTACATTAATGAATATGTAATACTTGCAGTAAGTTCCATAAGTGATGCTGTGAATACACCTCTAGTCTCAAAATGAAACGAGATGGGCGAAGGGTTTTCAGCAAAGATGAGTGCAAAAAGTGTGAAATCCCACACAAGATTGTGAAGAACAAACTTCCCCTTCATTATGAAACACAGTTATACATGTGCGTCTTATCCAAAGAAAGCAAAGCTGTTTTGATAGCAGTGATGAGGAAATCATGTGCGGTACAGATGAGGTGAGGGAGGGAAAACTGCTAATCTATCAGCGAAACTGACAAACAAAAAGACTAAAATAACACAATTCAAAGCCATACAGTCATCATCACCTCTCTCTCAAAACATATTCTGTAACATCAACACCATCTCTCTCATACACGCATGCCATCTCATCAACTCTCTCCTCTCTTAGTTTCTGTTCCCTTCCTTCTTTATCCCTCTTTCTCTTTTGTTCTCTTTCTAAGAAAATATACGTCAATGGAAAGACGAGAACTATTACACGGTATCTGTTAACCTCATTTAGGATTAGGACAATACTTCAAGAAGGCAAACATTTAAAGAGACAGCATTCGGTTTCTTGGTCATAGCTTTATTATTTGTGTAACTTCACATCTGTTTGTAAGACAAACCTTCATTAAGTCTAACAGTATATAAATGTAACTAAAATGTCACTTTTGTTTAAAAATATGTTAAAAGTGGGTCCTTCAGTAAACTCATATTTAAGTGACAATTAGAAGGAGATATCTAACAAGTGAGGTTATCATGCTTACTAGCAAATATCTGCCTCAAATAAAACTCTTGAATAAAGATTAAATGTCACAGAACAACTTGTAAACATACCATAATTCCTTCAGAAAGCAAATGTAGGCTGTATATTGGGTCCCACAGTAAAATAAATATATACATTAGGACTGCTGATAAATACAGTAAATAACGATTAATCTCAACAAGATTTTATATATCACCCGTTCAGGCTACATTAATACAATAGAAAATACAGTAAAAATGATAACATTGTGAAATATTATTACAATTTAAAATAACTGTTTTCTATTTGAATACATTTTAAAATGTAATTTATTCCTGTGATGGCAAATCTAAATTTTCAGCATCATTACTTCAGACTTCAGTGTCACACGATCCTTCAGAAATCATTCTAATATGCTGATTTGCTGCTTATTATTGGTGTCGAAAACAGCTTAATATTATTTGTGCAAACTGTGATACATTTTTTCCAGGATTCTTTGATGATTAGAAAGTCCAAAAGAATAGAATTTATTTGAAATAGCAAAATCGTACTTTTTAAATGTCTTTACTGCCACATTGAGAGACACACACTGAGAGAACAGTGAGCTCAAAGATGAGAAATGCAGTGCCTTAGAGAGCAGAAACTGCTGTCTCACCTTCATGAGAGGAAGAGAGAGAGGAAGCGATTTTATTCTAATCATTCTGATCCTCATATGACCACATAATGACAAAAAATCACAACATCATTTACATAACATCAAAGACTCTCTTCCTCTCTATAACCTCAAACATCAGCATTTTACATTTAGTTTTGATTCCATCTTGTTCTTTCTACTAAGCCCATCCATGCGTGAATCCATCAATTCAATCAGTCAGGATATGTGTGCTTATGACGCAAGTCTATAACGTCTTAAAGGGGTCATATGATGCTATTTTAAAGATCATTATTTGGTGTAACAGAATATGTTGACATGCTTTAATGTTCAAAAAACACATTATTTTTCAAATACTGTACATTATTGTACATACACAAACAGTACCAGTAACGTCAAAGACACGCTGGTTTCCATGGCCATGTTGACAGAAGAAGACCATTAATTCAAGATAACTGATTCAGCACACTTCTTCAGTGAAAACACACACAATCAGGAAATGTATGACATAAGATGCAATCTCAACAACAATCTGACTGCAGAGCTGATGATGATTCAAAGAAAAGGAATGCTGTACACTGTTCAAAGACTAAACTATATTCCTGTTCAAAATAACTAATGATCTCATAGAACAGATTGTGTGATCTTTAAGAGGGAGAGAGAGAGGTGAAAGCAGATGTGGAATCCCTCTAGCATGCATTATTAATGAACTTTCACTCACTGGAAGATACCACTTTCTTCACACCCCTTGTGCAAAAACCCACAGAGAGACAGAGAGCTTCAATTGCTTCAGATATGCTTTTATTTTTTTGTGTACAACACAGTGGGAAAATGTATAGATAGAATTAATATATGACAGTTTCCATGAAAAGATCCTGAAATTCCTCATTTTTTTAACAAACGGTCAGTGAAAAGAGGTGCTTAACCTTTCAGAAAATGTGAATTATCGACGTTAGGAGGTCGAACTACTTTAAATGAGCTCTTTTATGTTCTATTCATATTTTGTAGCATTAAACATTAAATAAACATAAAAATTAAGGGGCTAGTTCACCCAAAAATGAGAATTCTGTCATCACTCAAATCATAAGGGTGAATAACGATGACAAAATGTTCATTTGAGGGTGAACTGTTTAATTATTTAAATAATGTTTAAATATT